TCGTAAAATCAAGAAAGTTATTAAATTATTTTTTTTTTGTTAAACTTTTATTTTTTCATAATTTTAATTTACGGGGACAAAATGAGAAAAATTATGATGTTTTAAATACTATTTTATCCCGTGCATAGCATGGGTCACATGCTAGTATATATTATATAAGAAAAAAAGGTGTTTCTAATGACAAGGCTTGGGGGAGTTCTAAACCCTCAAACTAAAATTTATGTTTTTTTTTATTTATAAATAATAAAAAATATTCAATTGGTTAAACTCTCATTTAATTATAACAATAAAAATCTAATTATTCCATAAATTACGATTTTTAAAAAGAAAGTATGCTCAACTATTTCAAAATTTAAATTTGAGTGCCACTATATATAGAAGCAATTCACTAAAATCTAATTATTTTTTATTGTAAAAAAAAGTCTATTGGTTAACTCTAATTTAACCATAACAATTAAACTCTAATTATTTCATAAATTACGACTTCTAAAAGAAAAGTATGCTCAATTATTAATATGGAAATAAAAAAATTCTAATTATTTCATAATTTATGATTTTTAAAAATATATATATTTTTTCATTTCAAAATTTAAAATTATATGTCATTAAATATGATATAGAATCTAAAATTTATATAAAAAAAACCTTTCAAATGGTCACATTATTTATGCTACAATTAATATAGCAAGTTTCAAAATTTATAATAACGCTTCTTTCAAAATTCAATTTAGCAAGTTTCAAAATTACATTTAAAAAAATCAAAATCAAAATTAAAATTATTTTTATTTTTATTTATTTCCGAACCCACAAACTAAATTTCTTGTACTTATTATAATCGTTGTGAGCTTAGTATAGGTCCCTCCATCTTTTGGTGAATTGGGCCCTCTGTATCTGATATCAACCCACCAAAATAACAGACCATCCCTATTGAACTAACCTCTTCTTTGACATTTCCTTTGCGGATCGTCTCCTCTACTCACCGTCGTCATTGTTTTTTTTTTGATCGGAAAAAAAGAATACTTTATTGATGGAAAAACAAAGATTACATCAATAAAGGGGAGCTTGGAGCTTAAAACAAGCTCCAACCTCCAAGTTGGTGAGAAACCAACGAGCCAAACAAAACAAAGGAAGAACACATTTGAACATTTGAAGCACCAATAACACCAAAACCAGAGCAGGCAAACAGAACAGATAGCCCACAGTTGAAGCACCAAACAGATCAGGTCCTGCAGTTAGTTAGGCACCAAGACAGAACAGATAGCCAGCATTCCTACAAACTAATTAAATACAGCAGCAACAGCAGTTCACCCACCAAGATTGTTAGCCCAACACATCTGCAGTTCACTACTACGGCCCTATTAAACAGGTCATCCTCTGCATCAGTTGCACCAACACAGAAACACTCAGAAACAGCAGTACACAGGTTATAACCTCAGTGCATTAGGCAGAATTTCACATTTTGCAGATTATACACCAGATCATCAACAGAATAGCAAAAGGAAGGACTAAAGGCCCTGAACCACATTGCAACCCGTGTTTTGATAAGATCACACAGCTTTCCAAAATCCAACTGTGACTCGTTAAAGATGATTTCATTCCGTAGCTTCCATAACGACCAAAGCACTGCCAGTGGAGTTATCTTCCAAATTACCTTCAATCTGTTTTTGCATCTAAACCCAGCCCACCATTGAATAAGACCCACCACTGACCCTGGCTGTACCCATGATATGCCCCACCATCCAATAATATTAGACCAAACTCTCCAACTAAATGAACAACACAGTAGCACATGGGGTACAGTTTCCTTTTCCTCTCTGCAGAATACACAATTAACATCAGAGTTGGGACTTAGGATTCGAATACTTTGCAGATATGTAGAAGTCTTGATCCTCCATTTCCATGCTAGCCAAGCAAAAAATTGCGCTTTCGGAGGTGCTGCATTCTTCCAAATGAGCTCCACCACTTGTGTAGGCATGGTAGTTGTTAACTCACTCCACTTGTAAGCAGACGAAACGGTAAATATTCCAGATCTGTCCGCAGCCCAAGACAACCCTACTCGTACTCTTAATCACTGCCACTGATACACCTTGCTGCATAGACACAGAGTATAATCTAGGGAATAGGTTCTTTAAACAGTCACCACCAACCCATTGATCCAGCCAAAAACTTATGAGCCTCCCATCCCCAATGGTGATCTTTGAGTTGGCCTTAAGTACCTCCATCAGCTGTGGACACTTAAGAGCCACCTTCAAAATATCCCTCCATACCATAGAATATCTGGAATTTTCATCTTGATCTGGCCACCTAGATCCACCATTATGTGGGTACTTGCTGATAATCACTTTTTTCCAAATAGATTCAGATTCACTCCCAAACCTCCACCACCATTTGAGAAGAAGACATTCATTCATGGTTCTCACCTTTCTAATACCTAGACCCCCGTTACTCTTGCTTTGAGTAATTTCTTCCCATTTTACCATATGTATTTTCCTTCTAAGTTCATCACCCCCCCACAAAAATCTGGACTGAATTTTATCAATTTCTTTGGCTACCCCTTCAGGCATTCTAAACAAGGATAAGTAAAACACTGGTAGTGAAGATAGCACAGACTTGATCATTGTCAACCGACCAGCGAAGGAAAGAAGCCTACGCTTCCATGAAGCAAGCTTTGATTTGAATTGATCTATGACAGGTTGCCAAGACCTTCTCCTCCTTGGATTAGCCCCCAATGGCATCCCTAAATACTTCAAAGGTAGTTTGTGATGCAGACAATTCAGTATGGCAGCAAAATCTTTGGTAAGGTCTTCATTAATACCAACACCACTCACCACACTTTTGTGATAGTTTATCTTCAACCCAGACAAGATTTCAAAGCATCTCAATATTCTTTTGATATTAAGCACCTCCTCCCTCCTTGCCTCACAAAACAAGATTGTGTCATCGGCAAATTGTAGGTGGGTAATAGTAAGATCATTAGAACCAACTGATGCACCCTTGATTAGTCCAGCCTGGACAGCTCTATGCAACAGAATATTAAGACCCTCAGCTACAATGTTAAATAAAAAGGGGGATAAAGGATCACCTTGTCTGAGACCCCTTTGAGGACTAAACTCAGCTGTAGGTGATCCATTCACCAGAATAGAGATTTTGGCAGTTGAGACACATTCCTTCATCCATCTGATCCATTTTGCACCAAAACCAAAATTTGATAACATGGAGAATAGAAACCCCCAATTTATTGAATCATATGCTTTCTCGAAGTCAAGCTTTAATACAACACCTTTCTTTTGCTTCTTCTTCCAATCATCAACAATCTCATTAGCAATCAGAATACCATCAAGGATGCTTCTACCCCCTATAAAAGCTGATTGAGACTCACTAATGATCCTTGGTAAAACAGTTTTGAGTCTACTAGATAACACTTTGGAGAGCACTTTGTACAATGATCCAATAAGACTGATTGGCCTAAAATCACTAAGAGAATAGGGATTTTCATTCTTAGGAATCAAGGCAACAAAGGAGCTATTAATACCAGAGACCAGCTTAGAGTTAGTATGGAACTCACTCATGAACTTCATCACATCCCCTTTAATTATATGCCAACATTTCTGGAACATCAAAAGGTTAAATCCATCCGGGCCAGGGGCCTTATTTCCATCACAACTCTTAATAGCTGCCATAACTTCATCTTCTGTGAACTCAGCTTCCAAAACAACACGCTCCTCTTCTTCCCCAATAGACTTAAAAGGACCATTTAAACTTGGCCTATCAAACCATGATTCTGAAAACTGCCTCTGAAAGTGATTAAGCACTTCTGTTCTAATTTCCTTAGGATCTTCAGTGGAGACCCCATTAACCTCAACTGAGCAAAGTGCATTCCGATTCCTTCTCGTGGAGGCCATGATATGGAAAAATTTAGTATTTCTATCGCCTTTTAATGACCAGTTAGCTCTAGACTTTTGTAACCATACCCATTCAACCATTTTACTCAAATTCCATGCTTCGCCTTTTAATTCCCTAAATTTAGATCTCTCTGACTCAGTGAGTACTCTTTGCTCAGCTAACAAATCCAAGTCATGTATCTCCTCCTCCAGTTGCTTTAGCTTTGAATCCACCTTACCAAACACCTCCAGGTTCCATCTTTTCAATGCTGCTTTAAGTAATCTCAATTTCTGTAGGCATTTGAATCCAGCCCAACCACTGACATGAGATTCAGACCAAACTTTCTGCACAACTTTCTTAAACTTCGGATGAAGACACCAGGCATTTAGAGACCTAAAAGGCTTTGGACCCCAATCTCTTTCATCTTCCATCATTAAAATAGGACAATGGTCCGAGAGCCTTCTTGGTAAACCCCACAATTTAAAATTGAATTTTTGCAACCAATCTGGGCTGAGTAAAAATCTGTCCAGCCTACTCCATTTGACACCATTTTGAGAATTACACCAAGTAAACTTTCTCCCCAACATTGGTAAGTCACACACTTCTAGGTTTTCGATTAGCTCGTTAAAATCCTTCATACCGCCACATCTTTGGGAACAACCGACCCTCTCAGAATAGAACCGAATCTCATTAAAATCACCCCCCAAGCACCAAGGGTTAATAAAATTTCTCTTTAAATTCTTCAAAGTTTCCCATAGTCCCTTCCTCTTAACACCATCGGTCGGGCCATATACATTGACAATAACACAAGCTATACTAGAAAATAGAGTGCCAGACAAAATGATGAAATACCTGTTACAGCAACAGTCCAGCATTTGAAAAGCTTGTGGATTCCAGACACACAGTAGTCCACCAGCTGCACCCTCTGAGTCCACCGTCGTCATTGTTCACCATCGCCATGGCTCACAAGATAAGGAATATGAGTCTCTGTAGAACAAAGCCCAACAATACCAAGAAGACGCAAAATAAAAAAAAAAAGGTATAATGGATTCCTGTTTCTGGGGAAGTAAACTTTATAAATGAGTTAGTTAGCTTCTATTGAGAAGACTAGAAAGAACATGGGAGTTGGTTTCCTTGTCTTGTCTGCCAATAAAAATTCCCTTGCTGGTAAGTGGGTATACGAAATTCAAATCCACTCATGGTTATCTGGAGTGTTATAAAGTGCAATCCAATGTGGTTTTCTCAAGAGGACAGGATTGACTATGAGGTGTTTTTTTTCCTGTAGCTAAGATGACCATTTTTCACACTTACAACTTCGTTGTTGGAAACACTCTGAGCTGCTCTTTTTTCTTGTTCAGTTTTATCTGTACTAAAATGTTGGTTTAAACTTTTCAACCTCATTAGGGCATTATATAAATGTAGGTAAGCCTTTTGAATCAGCAAGTTATTCTTGAGAAGATACAATCTGCAGTGGAGTCAAAATTGAGAAACTCCAATGAGGCAAGGACATTTCAAGAACAGGTATACTTTTCTGCAAACTTGGTAGCTTATAGTTTACTCATGGTAAACAAATATTATTAGTGGTCGTGGTCATGTCATTTGTATTTATGATTTAATTACAAGTTTGGGCAAATTACAATCTTAGTCCCTGTTGTTGTTTGTCTCTTGTGTTAATTTGGTCATTGTAGTTCTAATTGCATCAATTTTATCCTTGAATTTTTCACTTTATGTCAATTGAGACAGTTGGTGTGGTAGATCCCTCTCCGTCTAGTCCTATGCTTAGGAGCAAAGATTCCCCAATTAATCCCTCAGCTTCTGGTATGAAGAACATTTTCTTTTGCATTTGGCTGGTCTCATCCATCTATTGGCAGATCTATTAAATGTATTGTCATTTTGGATTTTCTCCATTGAATTGTCCAATTTTGTTGCCTTACTACAGGGACAAAATTGCAAAAAGTTCCAATTCACAAAATGGTACGAACAGATTCACTGGATCCTGCAGGGAGGTTGCATGCCTACTTGCAAGTTAAACTTCCTAGCCATCATGAAAATAATTCCAGTTTGACATCTGTGAGGTAGGACTTCTGTTTAGTCCAAGTGCATCCTTTTTTTGTTTTTTTTTGGATAAATAGCCCAAGTGCATCCATTTACTTTGGTAACTCAAACTGAAGTACTTCTAAATCTTGCCACATAATAAATATGCAAAATATGCAGGCAAGGATGAATGTCACGTTCTCTAACGTGCAGACAAGAAGTAATTATAAATTATTCTCAGAATCGTCACCATTCAGTTTCTTCGTAGTAATCAATTTGGGCAAATCATCATCCTTAAGTAATGGAGGTTTTGCCTCAACCATGAGCAACCAATAAGGATGCAAACCAGAGAAACAGAACAAACTCAAGTCTGTGACACCAAAAAGCTGATTGTTCAAACCAGAAGTGGACTGCTACAGTTCAGCTGAACTATCTTTAGGCCCAATAGTCATTGCAAATGCGACAAATAAAAATGAACCTCAAAGATGTCCTATAGCCTGGGTGGTATCCATAGACTTGATTCCAACAAATATTTTGCTGGGCAATGCAACAAATCACATATTTAAAAAATGACCCCTTATATTCCAAAAATAATACAAAAAATGAGAACTTAAATCAAGCAACTTCAAAAAAAATCTACAAAAATCACCATAATTACCAGGAGGGCAAGACAAACTAGATTGTGTGTTTGCCCAATCACGGTGTTCATACAAATGCTAAATTATGCTGATGTTAGCATAACGTTGTGCCTCTTTTCTCTCTTTCTCTCTTCTTATTTTTCACTTTTCAATGCTTATTTTTAACTACAAGAAGTGCCGTTGGTCCTTTAAGCTTGTTTGTTGTGACCACATACATGAACAATACACGTCCCTTGAAGGCTGACACGTGCAAGTGTGTATAATGATGTGTAAGGTACATGCCATTGATTACTTGCCTGTGACGTTTGGTAGGTTAGGAGGTATCTACGCTGGTCATGATCCATGAATAAGTTGTAGATGCATATTTAGTTATTTTATGATTTATGAAAGAACTCCAACTGCAGGTCATCTATCCGACAAAGGAGGAACCCAAGGAAGCTGCCCGATCTAACTAGGATTCAGGAGCTTATTGATGACATTGATAACAAATGCCATTCTGGTATGTTTTTACCAAATTCACCATCGTTGACACTCGAAAGTTTCTTAAAGTTGAATAAATTTGGATAATTGTTTCCAATAATGTATCTCTGTAGCTCTGCTGGACATTGTAAGACACTGCACCTATATTGGGATGGCAGATGATGTGTTTGCTCTGCTTCAGCATAATACTTACTTGTTTCTTGCCAATGTAGTGACTTTGTGGTAATAATGCTCTTCTATGCTTCTTAAAATGATGGACTTAAATTTCTACTTATCTATCTTTCTGGAAAACAATGATACCATGAATTTTGTTGTCATATAATTTTTTGTAGGACTGACCCACTTGCAGGTTCTGAAAGTAAACTATTTGAGCTTGTCTTGCTTCTTTTCTAGTTCAAATTGGTCTTGGGAGCACTGATTACTCAATGTTCCACTTCTATGTCTTCAGTTATTGATTCTTTTTTATCATTTGCTTTTATGCCTCCATGTATCAGCAAGTGCTTCGTCGGTTTGCTCATTTTAATGCAATACAACTAAGTGACCCAGCCCCACTGCCTGGGTTGATTATGCTGGCAATGAAAGAGGAGGATGTAGACCTAGAGTGCAATGAAAAGGATGAACTGAAAGAAAAGATTGCAGAAGTAACTGATCTTAACCCAAACAGATTAATTGCTTCAGTTTGCACTTAATTTTGCTCCTGTCGTCCTGTTTTGCTTCTGCTGTTGAGTTCATGGATCGTTTTTTGTTTAATTCGTGTATGATTGTTTAGTATTTATATAATGTTTAAGTGCTCTCTCCCTCTCTCTCTCTCTCTCTCTCTCTCCAGTGTTAGTATTATTTTGGTTTTGTTGGCAAATGCTGATCAACTTTATTTACACTATACATTTGTCACATGATTCATATTGATCAAGTTTCACTTGTAGGGCAATCTGATTGGATCCTATTAAACTATTTGATCCCAAAATAACAACAAAGCATGTATATATATTGGTTACTTTTCATACTAAACACTTTAGAAGTTGTATCTTGATATTTTCACCAAAAAGAGTCAAAATGGGGTTAGAATCTATTGATCCCGATAGTTTCAGAAGTTGCATGAATCGTAAAACATGAATCGAATTATGAATCGTGCGATTCACTTTTGATTTATCACAAAAGAAAGTTTGTGCCATATTTGAGGAAACACTCAGTTGACAATACTTCTACATACATGTATTGATTATATGTTCTTTTCTTTCTTTTGATATTTGAGATTTGGCACTGGTGATTCTTTTTTCTTCCATCTGGCAGAAACTAGAAAAAATCTTATTATTCATAAAAGGCAAACCTTATATAAAATTTTATGAAGTGGTGTAAAATTGGTTCTTTCACAATGGCTGGTTTTCATTTGTACTATATGACTAAAGATACATTTTTGTTCTTCTCCAGATGAACACAGAGCTGCTCAAGAATAAATCTGAGATGCTAGAGGAATATTTTTGCATCTATGTTGATTCACAAGGTAACTTGTCTAGGCTTCCTGTCATACTTGACCAGTACACACCTGATATGGACGGGGTCCCAGAATTTGTACTTTGTTTGGGAAATGATGTAAGTTCTGATATCTATTTTTTCTAACATCATTTTCTTTCTTTTTATCTTTGTCTATGTTTATAGCAATATGGTAGTACCAAAGGTTGTATTCAATTGTTGATTATGCATTACTCATATTTTTTGACAATTCCGGTCCAACAGTAGAGAAACCCATACATAGATTTTTGGCTCTTTTTTTTTTTTCAAGAGAGATTATGTTCTCTTCTGTGCTAGAGATTGTACCACTAAGACATGCACAAAATTGAAATGAAAAAGAGAACACTTTTGGCTTTCACCCATTTTAATCATGACACGTGTTTTATATCCTCCTCTCCATCCCCCTCTAAAAGGTACGAGTTGGGTCTTGGTTTCATTTTCTGTCTTTTGATGTAATTAGCTTATCTCTATTCTCTATCTATAAAAAGTCATATGTAGTTTTTAATTATTTATGTACTTTGGGTATTGCATCTTGTAGTTTGTAAACGAACTTCAAATACAGAAGATTCACGCCTGCTCCTTTTGGTGCTTTTAATTGAACCATCTTTCCTGCTTGTTGACTTAACTAAGACAGCTGTAAATGTCTTTTTCATAATTTCAATTGTGGTAGTAAAATCATGATGATCAACAATGCATGTAACCTCTGTCAATTCAAGCTCTTATCTTCATTCTTACTGTCTTATGAATTATTTGATCCATATTGCGAATTTTTCTCATATATATAGGTTGACTGGGGGGATGAGAAAAGTTGCTTCCAATCAATTGCTGCTGCTCTTGGAAACTTTTATGCCATGCATCCACCTTTGTTGCCCAATCCATCAGGTGATGGTTTGCAAATTTACGAGAGGAGGAAACCATTCAGAAGTCCCCAAGCAGAAGAAAATTCCATGAAGAATACTGTTATGGGTGTTTCCTTCTGCAGATCCTATCCATTGTATATTGGTTGTATTTGCTTAGTAACTTGAATGGTTTGACCACCTACCTTGTGTTCTTTGGACCATGGAGAAGACTTGCTGACTATATAACCAGGATCTTCTTTTTTAATTGCTGATCGATTATTTTTGTGAACATCAAGGTTTTCCTCGATGATGTACCCTATAGTCTATTATAGTAGTAAATTTTTTCTTCTAAAATCACTTTCTTTATTTTATTTTGGCATTTTGTGTGTGTGATGTGCCCAAGAGATTTTTTGTGTGGTATACCCTTGTTTTTGCTTTGTCGTTTGCTGCACAAAGATTGTTTGCATTCGAAGCATGAGATGAGCCATTAAGATTTCCCAGTTTTCTTATCTGGATTCTGAACACACCATTCAAACATGCATGCTTAGTCCAGTGGATGTTGTGTACAGATACATTGAATAGATCTAATGAAAGATGTCTTGGTCCTGTGGATTGTTTGCATTTAAAGCACGATCATCTGCCTTTTCCTTGATGATTTCCTAGTTTTGACGCCTCTTTCCTTGTCTTTTGTTAAACTGATACATTGATTAGATCTAACGAAAGAATCCTGATTTCTCTCAGAGGATCGCATAATAGAGGACGAAAATGAGCATGAACTAATTTCCGAGGCAGAGACTGCCTGGGCCCAGCGTGAATGGTCAATCCAGCATGTCTTATTTCCAGGTATTTTTGTGGATTCCCTCTGGAATGATACCAAATGTTACTCTGATGTGCAAGTGCCTTGTATCTTGAGTATTTTTAAACTTTGCAATCCGATGAAAATTAAATGGATACTTTATCATCCAATGTATTGTGTCACACGTGCTAAATAAAGACTTCGTCAGGTACTACCTACCTTGGTCTTTTCGACTGTTTGGTACTCTAGATTTTTGAAGCTTCTAATAGTTATTAAAGTGTATGTGGTTGTAGCTTGCATTGGTGCAGGTTTTCACTCCTTGTATTGTTCAGCAATTTGCTCGACTTATAGGAGTTTGACATTCTTTTTTTTAATTTTTTTAATTTTATATATTTTTATTGTAAAGTTATGCATTGCATTTTTTGCTTGTGAGTATGGAATAATGTGTTGATCCTACTCCTACAGGTTGCTTCACTGGAGAAACTTTACGAGATTTTTGAAAGATGCTAACAAGAATAGTTTGGTTCCAGACCTCATGACAGAGACAACAGTTGATGCAACACATCTTCCAGGAGCAGCCAGCATCCCTGAAGGCTGGTGGAGAAAATTGTGTTAGTAAGCATGTTAGGTGTCAGTAAATATACCCCTCTCTCTCTCTCTCTCTCTCTCTCTCTCAGCTATTGATGATACCATGGAGATTCCCATGGATAATCTGTCCGAGGTCAAGCTGATACTTTCTTAATGACTGTTTATGCAAATATTAAAGTTTGCAGCAATTGCTTTTGTTGTTGCGGGCTACTATAATTACTGTTGTGTGATTATTAGCTGTACTTAGAACACTGTTTTTGTAAATTGAATGCTTTAGTAAATTGAAGGAGTACTTGTATGTAGATCCTAATAAGTAGACTTATTATCTAATAGGTCCTATGAAAAAAATTTGTTATAAAAAAATTCACTAATAGTAAGTTTTAGCGACAATTTATAAAAATCATGACTAAAAAAAGTCATTAATTGTCAATTTTTAGCGACATATATAAAAAATTGTCACAAAAAAATTATTTTTAGCGATAATTTTACCAAGACTTATTTTCAATAGGATTTGATGGGAATTAAGTTCAACTATTAGGACCTATTAGTAATTTATCCTAAATTTTTTTGAATGTTTTAGTATAAATACACGGGTAGAATTTCACAAAATGGATAGTGAAAACTTTTTTTCCCAACTAATGAAAGTACAAGATATCTTTGCATAATTGAATTTAGATTAATGCTTCCTACCCCCACTGGGGGTCGACCCCCAGTGAGGTGTCACTGGGGGATTGGCCCAACAAACAAACTGTTTTTTTTTTTTTTTTTTTTTTGAGTCTTCGGCCAGTGGGGGCGCGACCCCCACTGGGGGTATGCTGCGGGGCTGTTGAATTTATAAATCACTTGTACCTTCATCACTTTGTAATTATTTTTTCACTTCTCACTTTTGTTTGATGTTCTCCTTAAATTACAAAGGGCTTAAGGAGAGAGCCCTAGTTTTCTATATTCCTTATTTTTCTTCTCCTCCTCTATTTTTCATATTATTTATCATGATATCAGATCAACTGTTTCATTGTTGGCCTTGAAGATTGCTTTCTACACCCCCCCCCTCCCATATTTTATTTTTAATATGATTATTCTATATTAAATTTAAGCAATTTAACACCAAACAGTTTTCAACAATGTTAGGGATACTTACACGTTTACCAACAATCTTATTAACACACTCACACGTTTTAATAAGATCAACCATCACTTGGTATGGAACCCACATCAACTTGTAAGTGTTTTAGTAAGATTGTTAGTATCCCTAACATTTTTCAACAGTTTTTAACTCACCTTTGAAAAAGAAAAAAATCAAAGTGTTCTGCTCAATTATTTGCTTTTCAATTCATGTGTCGAATACAATTCAGTTTGTAACAAGTGTGAAAACTTGACAATATAAAGTTATGAACCAAGCAAATACAATGACCATACCCTTCTTTCCTAGAGTTGAGTAAAATGAAGAATTCACTGCCCATATACCCAATAGTTCAGAAAAGAAAGAACAATTAAAGCTCAGTGATTCAAGAATACATCTTGAAATAGCCTCCTCCTTTTTGTTCTTTTCTTTTTTATTTATTTATTTTACTATTCATGTAATTCAGTGATTCACTGTGTTAATATACAAACTATGCAGAAAGCATATGGAATCCGTTCATGTAATTCTTATCAAAATCTATCAAATAAGATTTATGTTGACTATGAAATTCTTAAAAAAAAAAAGTTAGTACCGTCGAAATTGATATAAACAGTACCAGTAACATGTCACTCTGTCTCACAGTAATATGTTACTCTGTTTGATAGTAACATGTTACCTTGATAATATTGTCCAAGAAAAAAAAAAAAAAAAGATATTTTACTTTGTCCTTCCTCAATTATGTGTTTTCTCGTTAAGAGATTTATGAAACAAAATAAAATGGGCTGTCCTTTTCATCAAATAAGGGTCCAATGGAAGGGTTTTGACTAAATTTTCCTTTATAAATTTGTCTATAATTTCTCAATGATTCAGGAAAATAGCTAGAAAGTGTAAAGGTAACAAGTTATCTCCCACATCTAGAGAGGTATCTTCTGTAAACTGCCCACCCACAACTTAATGGGAGGGAACGTTACCATTTTAAAGCAGGATGCACCATTTCAATAAGTTGCCACACAAACAATTACATTTACGTCCCCACCCAGTGGAGCAGTTTTTCTCCTTTGTGGATAGGGCTATACTCTTCAATTTTGCAGCAACTTAAGGGAGCATTACATCACATAGAAGATGGTACAATACTATACCACCGAACAAGTGGAATAGTTGTGTAGTGTACTATGCAAAAATGGTTATTTATACTTAAAATTTCCAGTATGTAAAGTTATTGGAATATGGAATATTTACCTGCAATCAGTGCCACAGGAAATCACAACATTCTACACAATCATGCATGCAAAATGAAATACTAATGAAAATTCAAAAGAAAAACAATTCACTCCACAAAACTCAAACCTGGCAAAATGTAATAAGTTTGCTCATGTGATGCCAATGTTTTACTCAGTGAACCAACAAAGAATTAAAATCACCGTAAAGCATGTAAAATACAAATTTGAGGTTCGAAGCACAAAATGGGTAACTTACGTATGTGATCCAATTGCTGGTATGTATGGATGCTGAAAGGTTTTATCCTGCATTACCAACAAGGAAAATATTTCAGAACAAAATTGATGTTCCCTGCAGCAAATGCATCCATGATAAATAGAATGCTAATGTTTTTTATAGGGGCAGCAGAAGGGAACGAAAGAAATTATCAAATGATTGAATGCTACCATCTAAATGTTACCTAAGCACAACAAACTCCAATTTTGCATCTCTGTTTGTGAAACCGGGAAGACGAACTAATTTAGGCCAATCCATGATAAGTTTTGTTTTGGAAAACGCGGAGAATATTTGTTCATGGGGATGTTTGGGTCGGGGATGCTTCATTCGATAATTTGTTCTCTCACTTATATCATCTTTCCCACTCACAGAATGCTTCCATTGCCTTTATGGCATTGTCCTTTTCAGCTCCTACCTCTTGGAATTTCAATTTCTATAGAAAACTTAATGATCATTTCCTTGTTATCTATTCATGAGAACCAATTGTGTTGATAAGAGAGTGGACGGTCCATTCTTGAGTCATTTTGTTGCCAGTAAATATATATATATATATATTATAACGGAAAATATAAGATACGAATAGCCTTAATTTTCAAGTAAGGATTAGGCAACAACATAAGAAAATATATTTAACAATGGGATGCAAAAGGGGTGGGGGAAGGAAAAAGGGAGGTGGAGCTGCAAGAGGAAATCAACAGGGGTTGGGAGAGAGGATAGACGAGGATGGTACTGCAGGGGGATGGATCTGGTGGTGGGTGGTCATGGCTGTTTCAAGTGGTGGTAATGGTACAGCAGTTGTGTTTTGACTAGTGGCATGGTTTCAGGCGGTAACTATAATGATTTTGGCTAGTGGTGATGCTTTGGTAGATGAGAGAAGAAACAGAGAAAAAGAAGACACATAAGAGAAAGGAGAGAATAAAAAAGTCATTGTTGTCAATTCTTCAAGTAGGGGGAGAAAAAAAAATAATAATAAAGAAGCAAATTTCTAGCTAGCAACTTACTTCTTGTTGAATCACGTCATCACACAAGTGAAGAAGAGTGCCCTTTCCACTATCCAGTTGTTTGTCATACATGGACTGAGTAATTAATTTCTGATATGTAGCCATATTTTGCTGAAACCTACAGGCAGTTGAAACATTTGGTAAATTAATACCTATGAGATCAACAGACTTTAAAGGACGAACAAAGCAATGACAAAGGAAAAAGCATGATTATTATGTAAATACAGGTTGCCTGTGGCATGTACGGAACACATGCAATCACAGCTCCAAGCCCAATGCATGAAGCAGTGGCTCCAACCAAGAAGAAATCCTACATCAGGAGTTTCCCTGATCTGACTCACTCAAGGTTTTAAAAAGCGGCCGCAACCGTTACGCAACGCCGTTACGTAACGGTTGTGGTCGTTACCGCCACCCGTTACGGCCGCTTTTGCAGTGTGATTGAGATTCACAAGTATATCGGCTGTAGCGGCTGCTATAGCGGTCGTAACGGTGCCGTAACGGCATGTTACGCACTGTTACGTAACGGTTCCGAATTGCTTCTTTCGGAAAAAAAAAAAGTTGAAAATACGGAACAGAGATAGAGAGAGAAGAGGGAAGATGGAGGAACAAGAGATAGAGAGAGAAGAGGGAAGATGAAGAATATGTTATTGATTTGTTGAAGTTGTAAGCCTTATACTATTATATTCAGCTGCTATCACTCAACCATTTTGTTTGCGTGTGTCTATCTATATAGAAGCAAATTTCTAGCTAGCAACTTACTTCTTGTTGAATCACGTCATCACACAAGTGAAGAAGAGTGCCCTTTCCACTATCCAGTTGTTTGTCATACATGGACTGAGTAATTAATTTCTGATATGTAGCCATATTTTGCTGAAACCTACAGGCAGTTGAAACATTTGGTAAATTAATACCTATGAGATCAACAGACTTTAAAGGACGAACAAAGCAATGACAAAGGAAAAAGCATGATTATTATGTAAATACAGGTTGCCTGTGGCATGTACGGAACACATGCAATCACAGCTCCAAGCCCAATGCATGAAGCAGTGGCTCCAACCAAGAAGAAATCCTACATCAGGAGTTTCCCTGATCTGACTATAGCAGTAAGGTGGAAAGAATATGAAATATATACAAAACTAAATATCCATTTGACCAGATCAACTTGTCATATAAGACAATTCTCAAGCAGATCCATCACATGGTAGATCACGCAGACAACATGCATGTTTGCTCAATGAACAATACATATCCACATGAATCAAAATGAAATACTGCAAACACTTTACGTGACGTATGTCTTAGAACAGTAACCAATCACAGTCGAAAGGATGACAAATATGACCCAAAGATCAGCTTTAGGCATGTCGAGCGAACCCACAACTGCAACCTGTAGAAAAACATGGTATGTTTATCTAAAGAAAATAGATAAAGGATGAGTAGGAAACAAGTTCCATATATATCAGGTAACTAACCAGTCCAACAATAGCAGAACCAAGAAATATGACCCAGTCCATAGGCGTTAAACCTGGAAGAAATTCACGAGTTCATACATTAATAAGTGGGTACAAGGCTTTAGAAAAGTTAAAATGTCACTGAAAGAGAAAGAGACAGTCAGAGCAGCCAAAAACTTACAAGGACAATTTCCATATCAGCCATTGGAATGTTTTTGAAATGCTTCACAAATATTCCTCATCCTGTTCTATTTGTACTTGCTCGCCTGCATGGTCATCATGGTTGTTAGAAATAACAAATCCATGACAATAATCAATGGATGGTTTCCCAATGTACAATTAATCCCTTCTCAAGTGCCCTAATTTCCCCATATGTAAAGTGGCAGTGGAATTTTGAAGGTGGATGCACTTTTCAAACATTGTATAACAAAACATCATATATGCTCAACTTGGTAGCAAAAAATAACTTCCAAAATTAGTGGTGAATAGAAGATCTTTTTCAACAAAAACATCCAAAACACTGATTGAAACAAGATTTTAAATTGGAAAATGAAAGCTAGTACCTGTAAACAACAATTATCCTATCAAAGGTAGGTTCTTGAATGGCAATCTTGCCCAGAAGATTGCAGAAACTGGGATAAAATAAAATAAAAATGTCACAAACTTCCCATAAACATTCAGGAATTCAAGTCTGGGAGTAAAATAATACATAGGTCCATTTCTAATAGATTCACACTGATATGCATGCATGCAAATGTATGTCTATGTACCCTAATGCTGGTCTGCATGACTATGCAACTGGAAGATTTGCCTGGTTTTGTGATTGTGCTAACAAAAAACATAAGAAGTGCAAGATTTTATTCTTCTATAATCAGCTTCCTTGAATTCATTCTATTTTTCATAGTAAAAATGTGATGCACACTAACAAAGTATCAAAGAACCTTGAGAACTCCATGCCAATTCAGGATGAGGTCGTAGATACTGAATACCAACATTCAGGATTCATTCAGTATTAGTCAATACATGGGATGTGCTTGAGTTTCATTTATTTCATAAACAACTTCGAATAATGCATTTTAGAAGCCCAAGAGAACGGTGGGGGAAAGAATCTTTTATATTGTTTACACTGGAAAGCAAATGCCCCAAAGCAAAGACTGTTAGCTATCAAACTGCAAGACCAAGATGATGATATTCAAAACCTGAGTTACCTGAGTTCCATATTTGAAGACAGATCCGTTCCACATATAAGTCATCTGCTTTGTCTCAGAAATAAATTCATCATCTTTTTTTGGATCTTTCTTGCGCCGTGCATTTGACTTACTGGACAAAACTCTTTCTAGCCTGCAAGCATTACAACCCCAGAAAATATAAAAAAAAAAATTTAAAAAGGGCATGGCAGCTTATTCCAATAGGATGAGGAACATTCAAGGACATTTACAGACAGCCCTGAACTCTCTGACATCTGGTCACAGTTTAACATGTGAAAGTTACTTGCACAAGGGTCAAGATAATGGCCAAATACTACCGATGTGTCCCAGTTGTTAACTCACCTAGTCTTTCTCAAAAGCGATGTCCACAAGCGTGCAATGAGCATGTCCTTTTTCTCCATGAAGTAGTTAGTTGTCCGATCAATTCCAATGCCACAGCTGAATATTACGTACCACAAAACAAAACAAAAAAAAAAAATGACAAACTTACCATTTATTATATTTCTCAATACAAAACAAACACTTTTATTAGGGGTTAGCAATGCTGCCAACACACATCTGCTCTGCCATTCTATCACTACAACCATATGACTAATGTCAAATTTATTAAAATCAGATACAAGCCGTCATCATAAGCTTGTTGAGTCATATTGTCAAAGTATATGTAACACCATTCAACAATTGAGATTCTGAAGTTTTAACTGGAAAATAAAATAATCTCGTATTCTAAGATTTTTTTTTTTTGAGGGAATCATATTCTAAGATAATTAAGATGGTTAAATTATCTCTAGTTTTTTTTGTTAACTAGAAATTAAAAGATATCTCTTGGTCGTTAGAAACACTAGTGAAATTATATATCCTAATTAACTTGTAACACTACATATATCCTCTCTTTTCTATTGCTTTTCTTAATAAAATTTATTGTTACCCATACTTTGACAATATGACTCAAAAGCTTAAAAGGTCAATTATCATTGTTGGTTCTTGTTTTTTGTTTGTTTGTTTTGTTAATGAAAAGTTAGTTATAGAGTGGCATATTATTGTGAGAAATAAAATTTGGTTTAATGTCAGAACATTCTTCAATCTACATTCATGGTTTAGAGTAAACAAAACAAACCCATCACACCTGGGCCTGTCGTGATTCATTGAGCTTATTATTAATATTATATTTGCTTGGGTGATGTATGGTTGGGAATTCGGGAGGTACAAATATGCATGTGTGGGGTTGGGGAAAAGGTAATACAGGGAAGGGAAGAGTAGTATAGATTTTCATTTCAGCGCGATGCGATGGTTGCTCTGCTCTGTTGTGGCGGTGGTGTCTTTGTGGTGGTGGTTGTGATTTAGGCAACCAACCAACCAAGTCAAGCAAGAGAGGATATATATACGTTTATACATCTTGCCACATATCCGGATGACAGCAATGAATATACATAAACAAACAAAAGCAAAATAGGGAAACCAATAAACTAAAAAAATGGTAACCTTTATTAGTTCAATAAACTAAAAAATCCCAAAGAAAAAGGAACTATATTTATGACTGAATCACCCCTTGATACCAGAAATCCCTTGATTCTTTCCACCATCCTCACAACTCACCTCCTCCCCGTCTATAAAACCTAGATATATATACGGTGTTGGATTGACTCTCCTGTATGTACGTACAAAATTCCATCAGCTACTAAGAAAATCCTGATTGACCCTTAGTCCTAAAAATAATTAGAGCCCAAAAACTCCTGTCACACGCATCTTGTGTTCAGCATCTGTGTGCATCCTAACTCCCAACCAAGCTCTAAACTGGAAATCCACCTGTCTGGGTTGGGCCAACAGCACTAGTGTCCAAAGTGGACCAGCCACCACGGACTCGATGCTCCCCTGAAAACCAATTCCGACCCAACTCTCCACCATCCAAATGAGACTGGAGAGGTGCTGACATGTGGGTGGTATTAGTATTGATAGCCCAATCCTGAACATTGGTATTGGCATTCGAGAAGTGTTCTTGCCTTGGAATAGTGTACCTACTTCCATCAGTGAACATCTTCCCCTGAATGTTTTGATGCATATACATATCATTCGATCTCTTCTGCCTCAGTTCTAAGGGCAGCGACGCATGCAGATGCTCCCTGAAAAGTCCAGAAAACTGACCCATCTCCATTGAAACATTTGACGCTGGCTGTAAATTTAACCGTGTCTGCTTCTGCTCGTGCTGATAAGGTAAACCGTCCTGACCCTTGTAGAAATGTTGCAGTACCTCATTTTGGCCTTGGACTTCTTGGTCAGAGTACGGATTGAAGTAAGACCCATCATTAGATTTTCTGTGCAACAGATCTTTCCTTGTGTCTTCTTCACAATTGTCAGATTCCAGATCAATCAGTCGGACCTGTTGCTGTTTAAAAACTCGTGAATGCCCAAGTGACAACTTAGTGGCAGAAGCAGAAGCATATTCACGGTTTAACGTAGACTGATAATAAGAATCTGGCATGCTAACTGGTGGCCAAACATCACCAGTAGAAGATAGAGGATCCCCTTGACTAACAGCAATGTCTACACTCTTTGAGTTTTTTGAGTATGCTACATTATTAGGATGAATATCATCTCTGTCTATAATTACGTGGTTATCAGAATCCAAATCCACTGAGCAGAAATTGTGACTGCCACTGAGTGTCGGAATTTGCTGCAGATGCTGATTCTGTGTGGAGACATCATCTTCTATAGTGGGTTCATGTTTTGCTACTTCATCATCCATCATCTCCCAAACCAAGCTATCAAGGTTCTCTTTCTCTTCATCCTGATCACCCAATAACAAACTCATTAAGTCCGAAATATTATATCCTGTGAAGATTGTCACAATTAAGACACAGGTTTGGCTAGGATCTGATGAACATTCAAAAGGTTGCTTTCAAATGCTTCAATACCCAATCTCACAAAAACACAGAAAATTTAAAGAGCACAAACCTCTAATGCAATGGCACGTTTATCCCAACTTTGTGAAGATACACAAGAGGCCCTAACACGAGCCTGAGCTCGAACAAGAGCTTGCATACGCCTTAGTGTTAAGGCAACTTGCTTCCTGACCTGCCTGCCTCGGAAAATTGCTTGTACCCTCACTACTGCTTTCAATGCCCTCAAAGCCTGTCTTGCCTTCAATCATCAATTCATTGTATAAACATGAATCAGCAAAAAATAGATTTCACAAAGAAAAGAAAAACTCAAAAAATGGAACATAATCATGATTCATAAAATATCAGAATTGAACAATTGAACAAACACAGATAAAATATGCAAGTTAATACTGGTTGTTTTGTGGTGGTTATTAAATGATATATATTAACAAACCAACAGTAAATAATTAATCTTTAACACTGCAAATCCCACTACCCCTTCTTGTTTGTAAATACTCATTTTTTCCATTTTTTGAAAGCAGAGTAAAATGGAAACATGCAGAATACAAGTTGGGTTTCTTTTCTTCCTTTACCTCCTTTTTTTTTTTTTTTTTTGCAAGTTAGGTTTCCAGAAAAAAAGAATTTCAAATCAGTGGTAAATCATACCAACTTAAATAATTAAAGTTATAATTTTTTTCATAAATTTGTAATAAAAATTTAAAAACATTACTGATTCACAATTTTCCCTCCCAAAAACTGGAATCTTCTAGTGTTTGGTGGGACGGAAAACCAAATCTAGAAAAAACAAGATTATTTAGGCAGATTAAGACCTTACTAATGCAATCACACCACCACCACCACTACCCATCACCACCGTATCCACTACTATCACCATCACCACCGCCATCTAAATTTTCTCTAGGAAAATGTTTCCGACCGAAACAAACAGCATATAGGGGGGAATAAAAGGGGTTTTGTCAAATGATTGAATTCGATTTCATTCATCAGCAATTGAAAACTCAATCCCAAACAAACCCATCAAATACATATAGCTAAGACATGTATAGCTATGAAAAAATTGACTAAACAGAGAGATAAAGAGAACAAAAAATTAAAAAAAAAAAAATAGAGTTACCAGAAAAGCCCGAAACATTGTTTGGATTCTGATCGCCGCCCACTCTTGCGTGACCACCATGAAATCTTTGGTCGTAGCTCTAACCAGATAGCCCAATCCTGCACTGAACACATCATCAACCCGACAAATCAGACACAATCACGTGACCTCCTTTGTCACTCCTCCATAGCCTCCACTTTCGACCCTTACCACTACTGTCCACATTTTCCTACACAAAAATAAAATAAAAATAATAATAATAATTTGAAAACACTTTCTAAAAACAAAGAAAACAAGAAAATCAAGCAAATGGGTCAGTGATGGTTGAGAGTATGGGATTACTTGGTGCCTTGATTGGGTCTTCTTGAGACCAATCAGTGATTTCAACCATTTCTCTAAAGCACCCATTGTAGGTTTTTTTTGTCAAAGGGAAAACTATTTTTTGCTTTGAGTGATCTCAGAAGTGAGAGAGAGTGTAATTAAAGGACACTTCGAACGGCAGTGATAGGTAGCTCGAAACCGAGCGGCTCGAAATGGCTCGAATTCAAAAACGGCCTCGTTTTTGAGACTCTTCGAGTTTTCTGAGTATGCTACATTACTAGGATGAACATCATCTCTGTCTATAATTACGCGGTTATTAGAATCCAAATCCACTGAGCAGAAATTGTGACTGCCACTATAGTGGGTTCATGTTTAGAATCCAAATCCACTGAGTGTAGGAATTTGCTGCAGATGCTGATTCTGTGTGGAGACATCATCTTCTATAGTGGGTTCATGTTTTGCTGCCTCATCATCCATCATCTCCTGAACCAAGCTATCAGGGTTCTCTTTCTCTTCATCCTGATCACCCAATAACAAACTCATTAAGTCCGAAATATTATATCCTGTAAAGATTGTCACAACTAAGACACATGTTTTGCTAGGATCTGATGAACATTCAAAAGATTGCTTTCAAATGCTTCGATACCCAATCTAACAAAAACACGGAAAATTTAAATAGCACAAACCTCTAATGCAATGGTAGGTTTATCCCGACTTTGTGCAGATACACTAGAGGCCCTAACACGAGTCTGGGCTTGAACAAGAGCTTGCATACGCCTTAGCGTTACAGCAGCTTGTTTCCTGACTTGCCTACCTCGGAAAATCGCTTGTACCCTCACTATTGCTTTCAATGCCCTGAAAGCCTGTCTTGCCTTCAATCATCAATTCATTGTATAAACATGAATCAGCAAAAAATAGATTTCACAAAGAAAAGAAAAAATCAAAAAATGGAACATAATCATGATTCATAAAATATCAGAAGTGAACAAACACAGATAAAATATGCAAGTTAATACTGGTTGTTTTGTGGTGGTTATTAAATGATATATATTAACAAACCAACAGTGAATAATTAATCTTTAACACTGCAAATCCCACTACCCTTTCTTGTTTATTTTTTCCATTTTGTGAAAGCAGAGTAAAATGGAAAGATGCAGAATACAATTTGGGTTTCTTTTCTTTCTTTCCTTTTTTTTTTTTTTTTTCAAT